TCAATGAAGTTTTTAAGAGGGCAAAAAGTGACTATCTTTTTAGAGCCTTTTTTTGCCAAAGACCCAAAAAAGCAGAATATTTATGAAAAAATTCTTATTAAACATATTACTTCACTTCCTTTTGTTTCTAACTTTCAAAAACTAAGTAGCAGTGGGAAAAATGCTCTGTATATTGACCGCGGAGTTTTGCGAAAAGGCAGTGAATATCCTCATAACAAACCTGCTAAATCAGTTGACTTTTATTGAACTATCAAAAATGGAAAAGGAGAAACTATCGAATTTTATACTTTTCATAAATACATCGAAGAAAGTGGCGGAGCCCAAGATAATCAGTTTAAAGAAATTAAGAATTGTATCGAAGTTGGGAGAAATGGCAGCCAAGAAGTAAACCGCAGAGTTATTTTTATCTGTGATGGTGCTTACTTTACTGATAAGAAAGCTAAAGAGTTAAAAAACCTGATTAGCAACTGAAATTGTATCGTGTTAAGAAATACTGAGTTAGAAAAATATCTCTTGAAAATTTACAAAAAAGAGTAAATATTTGTAAATTATTGGTTTATCGTAGAAAGGTTTTTTTATGCGGAATGCGATTTCAGCAATTTACTCAAACTCCCCATAAGTTTCTTTTAGTCCTTCGGACAATACTCTGCATTTCATCACTTTTTGATTTCCTTTTTTTCTTGCTCGGTGGCTTTATTCCAGTTTTTTATGATGGCTTTGGCGAGGAGTATTTTGGCTTGTCTTTGAATTAGAGTGAGTTTTCTTTTTTTCATCTAATTTTTTATTTTAAAAGGGGGTAGTTGAATAATTTTTGCTTCTAATTCCTTGCGTTCTTTTTCTAATTGTTTATAATATCCCTGCTTCTGTAATTGGAAAAAATGCTGAGCGGTTTTTTTTTATAGTTTCCGTTATATGGTTTAGTTGAGAATTATTGTTAGTTAAAACTTGCTCTACTTGCTTTTTTAGTGAATATAATTCCCCGACATACTTGTCATTTTCATAGAGATAAATTAAATTAGATTTTTGTGGTGAAAATAAAGCCAAACAAACAGGGTTTTCTGTGTCCGT